GAGGGGAATTCAGTGTGGCAGAGAAGGGCTGAGGGATGTTGTCACTGTGAGAGATTGTTGGAGATTGCAGGGAAAACCTCTGAGCTCTCCCATAGAATCATATGGGGATTCCTCAGAGAAGGTCATGTTGCCAATATATTATCCAAAATCTTCCTGTGTCCCTCCAAGTGTTAATGCACCCGCTGCTTCCCTGAAGTGCCTGCAGACCAGTGCGCATAGCATGGGAAATAAACAGGATGAGCTGGAGATCTGTGTACAGTCGCAGGGCCATGATCTCACTGCAGTCACGGAGATGTGGTGACACAGTTCATGTGACTGGAATGCTGCCATGGAGGGCTGTGTCCTTTTCAGGAAAGACAGGCTGGGGAAGCAAGGTGGAGGAGTTGCCCTTTATGTGAGAGAGCTACTAGAATAGACTGAGGTGCGCCCGTAAGAGGGTGAAGAACGTGTGGAGTGCTTCTGGGTGGGAATGAAGAGCAGGGCTGGTATGGCCGGCAGTGCTGTGGGGTGTACTACAGTCACCAGATCAGGAGGATGAAGTCGATGAGGCCTTCTACATGCAGCTGGAAGTAGCCTTGCAATCCCATGCATTGGTTCTCATGGGGGACATGAATCATCCACATATCTGCTGCATGCCCAATGGACAGGGGTTGGAACTAAGCCCAACTGGTGACCCGTTACAAGTGGTGTCCCCACGAGGTCGGTACTGGGGCCCATCTTGTTTAATATCTTTACTGATGGCCTTGATGAAGGCACTGAGTGTACCCTCAGTAAGTCTGCAGATGATACCATGTTGGGAGATAGTGTTGATCTCCCTGAGGGTAGGGAGGCCCTTCAGAGGGATCTGGATAATCTGGATCACTGGGTAATTGTCCCCCTCTACTCAGCACTGGTGAGGCTGCACCTCGAGTACTGTGTTCAGTTTTGGGCCCCTCACTACAAGAAAGACTTTGAGGACCTGTAACATGTCCAGAGAAGGGCAACAAAACTGGTGAGGGGTCTGGAGCACAAATCCTATGAGGAGTGGCTGAGGGAGCTGGGATTGTTTAGTCTGGAGGAGGCACAGAGGAGACCTCATTGCACTCTCAAACTTTGGCCTCTTTTCCCAGGCAACGAACAGGACCCAAGGAAATGGCTCTAAGTTGTACCAAAGGAGATTTCGGTTAGACATAAGGGAGAACTTTTTCCCTCAGTGAGTGGTCAGACAATGGAATGGCCTGCGCAGGAAGTGGTGGAGTCATCGCCCCTGGCAGTGCCCAAGAGGCATCTGGATGAGTGGCTATGAGATATGGCTTAGGGGCTTGTAGTTGCAATGGTAATGGGAGGATGGTTGAACTGGATGATCTTGCAGGCTATTTTCAACCTTGCAATTCTATAATTCTATGATTCACATCCAACTGACTGTGGGAGAGCCTTGGCACATCAGTAAGGGACAGGACCACCCTTCCCAGAGGCTGCAGCTATGGCCCTACCCTTCTGTTGCATCAGAGAAACCAAGGGCTTGCCTCGATCTCAAAGCACCTGCACAGGGCCTTTGCCTGCCGGGAATCACGGCCTCCAATTATCTGCTCTAACATGGATGTGGGGAGGCTTTGCTGGTAATGGCCCCACAGGGACCAATTAACACTCCAACACTCTCCAGCATTTCTAGACAGCTTTTTGACTGCACCTTCATCATTTGTTTGCTGCAGTCTTCTCCTCAGTACCTGAAGTTCATGGACACCACATTCACTGTGGGGCTAATTACAGTGCAGAAAGACCTAACAAGGCATTTCTCTCAAGTCTTCAAGACTTGAACTGTTCATGAGGGAGGTCTCAGTGTTGCAGACAAAGTTTTCCAGGAGCACTGTCCAAAAAAGGAGTTGCCATATTTAAGGGTATTTAGAGGGGACTTTTCAAGGACAACCCAGCATGGAACTTTCTGCCCTGTGTTCATTTTCTTGCCCTTAGGATAGGGATGACTGGCAAAATGGGAGAGGAGCTGTTTAGGTTGACAAATCACTGAGACTGCTGTACTGCAGCTTTGGAGATGAGTAGGATTGTGAGCAGCATCCTCGTGTTCCATCAGCCTTTCCTCACTCAGTGTACAGAAAGAGCATTAGCTTTCTTCATCCCATTCAAGCTTTCATATCAGAAAGTCTGTTTACTGACACGCCTGAAGGCTGTGCTGCCATTCAGCAAGACCTTGACAGGCTGGAGAGCTGAACAGTAAGAAACCTGATGAGGTTCAACAAAAGCAAGTGTAGAGTCTTACACCTAGGGAGGAATAATTGCATGCACTGGTACAGGTTGGGGGATGAGCTGCTGGAGAGGAGGTCTGCAGAGAGGGACCTGGGTGTCCTTGTGGACGACAGGTCACCCATGAGCCAGCAGTGTGCCCTCGTGGCCAAAAAGGCCAATGGCATCATGGGGTGCATTAAAAAGAGCGTGGCCAGTAGGTCGAGGGAGGTGATCCTCCCCCTCTACTCTGCCCTGGTAAGGCCTCATCTGGAGTACTGCATCCAGTTCTGGGCTCCCCAGTACAAAATAGAGAGGGACCTTTGGAAAGAATCCAGTGGAGGGCCACAAAGATGGTGAGGGGCCGGAGCATCTCTCCTGTGAAGAAAAGCTGAGTGAGCTGGGTCTGTTTAGCCTTGAAAAAAGATGACTGAGTGGGGATCTAATCTAGGTTTATAAATACCTGAGGTGTGGGGGCATAGTGGTGAGGCCAGTCTCTTTTCAGTGGTACGTGGAGACACGACAAGGGGAAACGGACATAAGCTGCAGCATAGGAAGTTCTGCACTAATGTGCGCAAGAATTTCTTTAGGTGAGGTGACGGAGCACTGAACAGGCTGCCCAGGGAGGTGGTGGAGTCTCCTTCTCTGGAGATGTATAAGACTCGCCTTGACGCCTACCTATGCGACCTGGTGCAGGGAACATGCTTTGGCAAGGGGGTTGGACTCGATGATCTCTAGAAGTCCCTTCCAACTCCTACAATTCTGTGATTCCATGATTATACCTGCAAAGATAAGCATGCACACAGATACTGCCCTGCAAACAGACAGTTTCCTGATAGGCAAAAATGGGTGCACTGACTTTCGGGTGGCGAGTGTGACAGCAGAAAGGAAAAGAAGGAAAAGACACAAGACTTGTAAAGAATAGGCCAATAGACACCAATAGAAGGCCTGTTTTTCTCCCTCCTGGTTGGGAAATGCCTTCCCAAAAGCAAGCAGTGGGTTGCAGGAGGCACCAAAACCAAATCCTGATTGCACCTTTCCCTCTCCTCATTCCACTTGCAGACATCTATTTTGAGAACAAAAAACAAGACGACAGTGAAGAAAGCTTCAGTAAAACTCAGCTACTTTATTCACCCCCTTCCCTTTCCTCTACAGATGATTCTCAGAAAACCTCCAAGAGCCACGTTACTGCTCTCCTGACCCTTCTCTCAGATTCATCAGTGCACTCACAAATTACTGAGAGCAACACATGCACACAGACACACAGAACATCCCTACACAGACTCCTCTCCTTAGGAAACGGCATCAAAAAGCTGCTGGCAGGAAGAGCAGAAGAGGAAAGCAGGATTTGGGTAGCAAGGAGAGGCCATCTGAAGCTCCTGGGTTAAATCCATTCTGCAGAGGGTGCCAGTGATGCCATCTCCTTTGCAAACTCCTCCAGTGTGGGGAGAAGCATCTGGGTCTCCCTCATCCTTGCGCTCACCAAAATTCTTAAGGTCTCTCTGTAGGGGGTTTCCACATGAGAAAGGAGGTGCCAGCCCAGAGAGAAACTTCCTGCACCAGACACTTGCAGGGCCTCTTTATCACACAGACTGGACAATGTTTAATGACGACTGAGCTCAGGATGAGCTCTTCCTGCCATGCAGGCATTTCTAGGGTCATTGCTCTGAGAGGAGCCCCTGGCAAAAGCTCTTCCCATATATGGCTGTGACACATCCCACTCCGGATTCTCCTTTGCATGGCCACTCAACACAGAAACTCCAGCTGGAGGACAGCAATATGCATAATTCTCATGCAATGAAGGAGAAAGAGGATTGAGTTTGGCCGCAGAGCTCTTCCTCTACTCAAGAGATTTGTAAGGTTCATCAACACACAAAGCCACAGGTGGTCATCATGCTGTGGCTCTGGCTGTAGCTCTTCCTACCTTTGGAGCTCTGCAGGCTCTGTATCTTGTGTGTCTGTGCTGGTAGGTAATGAGGCTGGAACTGCTTTTGAAGGCTCCCCGTATCTTGTGATTCTTTACAGCCTGCATGCACTGTGGATGTGCTTGTGGGTGTTGAGATTAGACCTTCTTTTATAGCTCTTCTCACACTCAGGACACCGAAAAGGTCTCTCTCCTGTGTGGATGCCCTTGTGGTGCTTCAATTCAGAACTGCTTTTGAAGCTCTTCCCACACTCAGGACACTTATAGGGTCTCTCTCCTGTGTGAAAGCGCTTGTGGTAGGTTAGGTGGGAACTGCTTCTGAAGCTCCTCCCACACTCAGGACATTTGTAAGGTTTCTCCCCTGTGTGGATGCGTTGGTGCCTCTTTAAATCAGAATGGTTTGTGAAGCTCTTCCCACACTCAGGACACTGAAATGGTTTCTCTCCTGTGTGTATGCGCTCGTGCAGCTTCAATTCAAAACACCTCTTGAAGCCCTTCCCACACTCAGAGCACTTGTACGGTTTTTCAACTGTGTGGATGAGGTGGTGCGACTTTAATTCAGAACTACTTCTGAAGCTCTTCTCACACTCAGAGCACTTGTAGGGTCTCTCCCCTGTGTGGATGAGACGGTGCCTGTTTAAATCAGAACTGATTGTGAAGCTCTTCCCACACTCAGAGCACTTGTAGGGTTTTTCACCTGCGTGGATGCGATGGTGCGACTTCAATTCAGAACTGCTTCTGAAGCTCTTCTCACACTCAGGACATTTGTAGAGTCTCTCCCCTGTGTGGATGCGCTGGTGCCTCTTCAAATTAGAACTGATTGTGAAGGTCTTCCCACACTCAGAGCACTCATAGGGTCTCTTCCCTGTGTGGAAGCGCTGGTGCAGCTGCAATTCAGAACTGCTTCTGAAGCTCTTCCCACACTCAGGACACTGAAATGGCCTCTGTCCTGTGTGTCTGCGCTTGTGCAGCTTCAATGCAGAACAGCTCTTGAAGCTCTTTGCACACCCAGAGGACTTGCTTGGGCTCATTGATGAGCGAATGCACTGGTGGTTAATGATGCTGGAATCTTTTTCAAAGCCATTTTCACACTCAGTGCATGGATTCTGCTTTTTCTTCTGGCACACATCCTTGCTCCTGGGTTCTTCAGGCTCCTTTTGACCTACACTGAAATGTTGTGGGCTGTATCCTGTCTTTCCCAGACCCTTTCCCAGTGGCTCCATGATGTGCTCACCCTGACCTTGCTCCAGGCCTCCTTGGACATCCCTTCTGATTTCTTCCACACAGACACCACCCCACCGCCTTTCAGCCACACCACTTTCCTCCAGGTCCTCCAGTACATCTGCAATCCCAGTTCCTACTGGATGACAGGAAATCCAGAAATAGCACACAGTGCCCAAAATAACACACAGACAGAGATGGCTCTTCCAGACCCAACCTCCTCCTTCCCTCCACCACCTCACCTGGGCTGAGGTCTCCTGGCACGGCCTCAGGGCTACGCACATCTGGGATCCAGGGCTCTTGCCCTCCTTCAAGCAGGGAGATCACCATAGGTTTGGAGACTGGAAGTCGCGCTTCAATGAGAGAAACAGGGGAGATGAGAGCATTTCCATCATTCTGGCACAGTGCCTGTTCAACAGCTCCACTCTGTGTCCCCTCCCCAGGGAGAAATCTCAATTTCAGCCTGAATGACACTGAGCCCACAGCTTCCTTTGGAGCAAAGAGTCCTTATACAACTCTGAAAACTCTAAAGGGATTTTTTTCCTTAACATTAACTTGAGAACAGTTTGTTTATTTTCTGACAAATATCAATGACCAAGGCATCAAAATGTTTATGGCAACTGAGTGCAAAACCCTACATTGTAAAGGAGTAAGCAGGGAGTCATCTGTTAGCTGGAACTGGTCGCACGATGTAAAGCACAAATAGAAGGGCTGGTTTTCTCTCTCCTAGCTGAGGCCTGCTTGCCAAAACTGACTGGCGTTTATGAGTCTGCTGTGCATACTAATCGCTCCTGATATTCATGCTTCTCAGTCTTTCCTTTTTTGCTGTTGCTGTTATCAGTATGTAACTGCATGGTGATTATGCTAGGCCCGGCCTGCAGAGGCTCATTCTGCACAGCCAAAGGTGCCCTAACGAGGAGGAAAGGCAGCAAAGCCCTCACCCAGCGAGGCCACGCACTGGTACGTCTCCAGCATCACGTCCCGGTACAGCGCTCGCTGCGCAGGGTCCAGCAGCGCCCACTCCTCCCTGCTGAAATACACGGCCACCTCCGCAAAGCTCACGGGCTCCTGCAAGCAAAGAGGCTCCTTGCTGGGAACAGCCAAGGCCCAGGGAAGCAGCTCAAACAGGACACAAACTCCCGTCCCAGCCGCTTCTCTGGCCCCAGCACACACACGCTGGCTGAGGCCACCTCCCTCTCCCCTGCATTCACATCCCTCGCCCCTCAGCCTCTCCTGCCTGCTTCCCCCAGCCCCTACCTGAGATGGATGTGTTGTGGCCATTTGCTGCTCTCCTGCAGCTGAGATGATCCCGGCTGGATGGCAGAAGTTGAAATGGAGCCTGCAGGGACAAGAGAAATGGCAGGGGAGCTGTGAGGGAAACGCAGCAGTCCCTGTCCCAGCCCAGCCCTCCACAGCCCATCTGCAGGGCACTGCCTGGGGGATGGCACAGCAGGCCTTGCACAGGAACACAAGCAGCAACAGCACTGGTAATGCTCTGGCTGAAGCTGATTACAAATCACAAAGCTGACTCAGACTGGGTGGCACAAAGAACTGGCACCCGGTTCAACAGCTGAGGGTACATGGACTGTATGCCTAAAGACAATGCATAGCAAGGAGGCAGTCGTCTTACCCCTAAACAGGGAGCAGCCCAAGTGCCCCTTGAGCTCTCCTGCACAGCAAGGGCTGCACGACAGGATCTCCCCACAATCAGGGATGGCTCTCAAGGTCACACCTCTACAGAGATCCCTATCAGCTTGATATCAAGACACCTTGCTGACACAGATCTTCTGTAAGAGACTCATGGTTAGTTGGAGCTTTGTGAGCTTCTCTAAGGTGCTTTGTTAGAGTGATTATCTGAAGGTAATCACAGCATCAGAGAATACCCGGGGTTGAAAAGGACCACAATGACCACCTAGTTTCAAGAAACAGCTATGTGCACAGACACTGTCCAGCAGACCAGTCTGCGGAGCCACATCCCAAAGGCCCAAAGGATGGGGCATTCACATCCTCTATGGGCAACCTGTTCTTGTGCCTCACCACCCATTCAGAGAGTGAAATACTTTCTCCTGATATCTAAAATAATCTCCTCTGTCTCAAATTAAAACCATTCCCCATGTCCCACTGCTATCCACGCTTGTAAACAGCTGTTCCCCTCCAGTTTATACGTTTCCTTCAAGCCCTGGAAGGCCACAAGGAGGTCTACCCGATGCTTTCTGTTCTCTAAGATAAAAGAAACCCAAATCCCTCATTGCAGAAAGATTGCCTCGACGGCGGCATCTCCTTGCTCTCCCACCAGGAGAGCCGCTTCCCATTCAGCTCAGCACGCACACCGCACTCCCTTCAGGGCACGGTTCTCAGCACCGTGCGCCCTTTGAAGGCACCTGCAGCTGCCGGGACAGCCAGAACAAATGCCTTGGGAGGGGTGTGCATAACTCCAGCTGAGCCATCAGCCCAGCCCTAAGCGCACAAAATGTAACGCTGCAAGGGCCGCTAGAGGCAGATGTTGCCTGCTGGGTCCCCAAGGGGAAACTGCGGGCTGCCGGGGACGGTTGAGTGGAAATTCCCCCCTTGGAGGCTTCACGTTCCGACACTCAAAAGGAGGCTTGTATCCATGAATCCACGCCTGCAGAGCTGCAGAGCGAGGTCATCTTGTGTCTCCTGTGGTCCACAAGGAGAAACATGGTCTCAGCTGGGCAGTATTATAGAAAGGCAACCGGACAGCAGAGCACGCTCAGCCCCTCTGCTCACATGCTGTCTGTCCCAGCTCCAACCCTTGCTTGTGCCCCTCGGAGCCCAAGCCGGGCTGTCACACGCCTGGGAATCGCTGCTCGCCTTGTTGTAGCCCGTCTGGCCCAGCAAACCTGCTATGCAGGGCAGGAGCTGGAGCCGGGACCGGGCTCCCGCCTGGGCTACAGCAGTGCCGGTTCCGCCCCGCCTGGTGACGCTCCCCGCTCCCCTCCCGCTGCTACTGGCAGGGGGCAGGAAGCGTGCGCTCCTATGCACGAACCGCGAAGGGCTCCTACCTTGGGTGCGGAGCAGGCTGCTCCCGCCTCTGGTGCAGGCAACCGGGCTCCTGGGAGTCGCGGAGAGCAGAGGATGCCGAATGCCCTCAGCCCGGAGCTGGCCGCAGCACGGCCTCGCTGCTCCTTCTGCCACCGCCGTGCTGCCCGGACGGCTTCCAGCCAGGCTCTGGCCGCTTCGGCACAGCCTCAGGTGCAGGCAGCAATTCCCACAGCGAGCACGCCCCGAGCCGGCTGCCAGGCCTTGGGCAGTTTCACAGCTCCTTCTCATGGCACATCTGCACCCGGGGAAGGGAGGGAGGGATGGGGGCTGCGTTTTGTTATGCTAATGGAGTATCGCTTTCTGCTGGGTCTCTTTGCTTCCTTTGCTGGGGACATTCGCACATCCTTGTGGTCACACATCCCCACGTTGCTGCCCTGCCGTTCCTTTAACTCCTCTCACCCGTGAGCAGCTCCCAGCAAGAGGCAATCTCCAGCTGCCCTGCTCTCGAGGGCAGCATCTCCCTGCAGCTGGGTCACTTCCTCACTGAGCGCTGCCCATGGCACTGATGTCACGTTTCTACTCACTGAGCAAGGGAGTGCTATTTCTAACAACTTCCTATCCTGCTTTCTCAATTCGGTCTTCCCTGCAAGGCATGAGCATAGTTAAGCTCTCTGCTGTACGAGGGCCGGCTCTGCTGTTTGCTGCTGTGGATCTACAGACTTTAAGGCCACCCAGAAGGAACCACCCTCGTGGTAACCGGGGGTTTGTGTCCAGGAAAGACTGCTTCCAGTTCTATTGCATTTTCTGTGAGGCAAAAGTGGGCTCCAAGTTTCACTTGGCAATGTTTAAACTCTACGCATCTTTCTGCAGGGGATTGTGGGAATCAAGTGTTGTTTCTGCATTAGAATTGTATAATATTATTTTTATTTTATGATCTCCGCTATCATAGTTCTTTTTGGGTGTCCTTCTACTTAACCTGGGGAAGATCTCTGATAAGTTTTCATCACTTATCGTATAGACCAACCTTCCCTGGAAACGCACTCTCTGTATATAAGGGTATATATGTATATTTGGTCATACACACTGCAAGAATATCCTGCACGAGAGCAAACCAGAGAACAAGTCATGGCAGCCCGAGGAAGCGCCTGAAGAGACATTGGGAAGGACTGACATCATCCCCCAGTGCTCTTTGTTTAACGATGATGACTTTAAAGAAAATCACCATATCAATACGACAAGGAGAGCACCGGGACTTCTTGGAAACAACAGGATGACTACTGACTGGCACCAGATAACAAATAAATTAACAAGTAAATAGCAAATGTAAACCTTCTGATAAGATTGTGAACCTGGAGTACCCAGCCAGTGGGGAAACAGGGGAGGGGGAATGCAAGGGGGAGAAAACAGGGTATAAAGGCTGTCATGTTGTGTCGACAGATGCGCTCCTGCTTGCGGGACGCCGCCATTGCAATCGCGAATAAATTCTGCTTTTATCAGAGATACCGTCCTGACAAAATTACTTGGATTATTTCCAACAGGATGTTCCTCTGAACTTTGCTGTGATCACAGCCGCATCTCTTTCCTTTCTGCTGATAACCCAGCTGTACACATGACCAAAAGTATTTCCTGCGCTCACATCAAGGCTTTCCAGAATGCCATGGTTCAGTAACGCATCCAAAGGGACTGTATCCCTATGGCAGGGAGGGTCTACACATCCTCTTCTGATCCTGCTCTTGAGAAGAAAAACAAAAAACAAAAAACAAAAGAAAGGAAACAAGCAAGCTATTAAAGAAGTCCACCCTAGTTCAGTTTGGGACATTGTTTATCAGCTTGTTATATATTATGCCAAACAAATTGAACAACCCAATTATATATTCTGGAAATCATCTTTTATTAAAGCAAGCAAGTAAGCAAAACAGCGCTGGGCGGCCGGGGAGTCTCTGCTCCACCAATGGCACTCGCTTTCCCTTTCCAGCTGATAGTCTTTATACAGTTCACTAGCCTGAGTTTGTGGCTTCACAATATCTCTTGCGCAGGCGTGGTCCTGTTGTGAGGCAGCCATCATCTTGTCAGATGGGGAGGCCTGGGATCTTTGCAATACATCCATTCATAATCCTTACGCCGCATCTTTAAAGCTGTGTAAGTCCTGGGGTCCGTACCTTAAACTGCTGTGTTTGTTGGTGTTTCTGGATGTCTGTAGGAGGAAACTGGCCTCTGCTGTTGCTACAGTTTTCTGGCCCAGATGTCTGAAGTAGGAAACTGATCTCTGCTGTTGTTGCATTTTACTAGCCCGGATGTCTGTAGTAGGAAACTGGCCTCTGCGGTTGTTACAGTTTACTAGTGATAAGCTTACAAATAATTTGATTAACAAACAACAGATTGCTCCTATTACAAGCTTCTTCCAAGTGTTCTCACTTCCATCCCACTGAAGGCTAAGTGAAACTTCCGTATGTGTGGAAGTTCACAGATCATGGCCTGAACAGGCGACTTGCCTGTGAGAAAGGGTTTATGTGAGCTTTGTGTCCTGGTTGTGACAGTAGTCCATCTCATGACATCATGCGACAGACTGTTGGTATAGAGATGGAGTACACTGCAGAGCTGTATTGCC